TACCAGTTATCGCAAACACTTGATTGCAGTTGTTGCTGCAAAGGGTGGCACAACCAGTTATTAGATTTAGGGGGTAATTACTTTTTCACGTAGGGCCAGGTAGGTTTGGACAGCGTTTTTTCCCTTAATAAATTAAATCATTATTTCAAAACTGCATTTTGCATTTACTCTGGTTATCTTTGCTTAATATTAAAATTAGTTTGATTATCTGAATCATTCAAGTGTGACAAATATCCAAAAAAAAACAAAAAAACAGGATGGGGCAAAAACCTTTTCACACCACTGTAAATACACACACATGCATGTATATATTTTGAAAATATTTACATGTATATACATTTATATTATTACATTTTATATTATATATAAATATATTTAATATATAAACATAGCATATTTGTCTTAAATATATACATGCATGCGTTTGTATGTATATATACATAATAAATATACACAGTACACACATACAGTATATATTATGTAAACAAAAACTTTTATTTTGGATGCGATTAATCGTTTGACAGCACTAATATCCTGTATGTGGAAATGCTTTAGAATTGTGTATTTTGTGTATTTTAATATGCATTCATTTTTAATAGCATTAACACAACAATACTTTAAGGAATCCTGACATTTGTGATTTGAAACTCTACATCACTCCACTCTCAATGTGTTCAGAATTGGCCTTCAGAAGGAGTTAATGATTTTCGAGATGCCCACGTATCATTTTACCTGCGCTGTAAGGAACTTTCTCTCAGAGTGCTCCGAGTGATGGCTCTTGGCTTGAACCTGGAAGCAGAGGTCTTTCTCAGCGCACATAAGCATATTGGAAGTAAGTAAATTATATATGCATTACTACTTTCTGCCAGGGAGTCAATGGAAGGGAGATCTGCAAGACCTTAATGATGTGGGTGGTTTTAAGGTGATGTGAATGGAACGACTCTACGGACTCTGTACTACCCTCCGGTGAACAGCACATGTGTGAAGGAAAATCAGCTGCGCTGTGGTGAACACTCTGATTATGGTAGTATCACTTTGGTCTTCCAAAGCTCAGAGGGTGGACTGCAGGTGAGCACCAACATAGGACAAGAGGAGAAAAGATTCATGTGCTCCTATCATTTAGGATAGTAATTCTGGATCTGGATGCATTCTTCTCCTTCAGGTTCTGAACCGGGCTGGAGAGTTCATTTCAGCCCCCAGCATTCCTGGAACAGTTCTGATTAACATAGCAGACCTGATGCAAAGGTGGACCAGTGATGTCTATGTGTCTGCCGTAAGTTTCTTTACTAATGCTTCATTTAATTGTGCAGTGCAGGCAATGCTCATTTAATTCTTTTCTATTGTTCTGACCCTCAGGTTCATAGGGTTTTGCTGCCCCCTGCAGGTGACTCCAGCACACGTCAGTCTTTGGCCTTCTTTGTACAACCTGATGATGAGGCCATCATTTCATGCTGCGATGGATCAGATAAATATCCTCCTGTTAAGTCAGGTGATTACCTTCTATCAAGGTTCAAAGATTCTTACGGCAATAAACAGATCCCTTTTTAAGTGGCTGATACCGATTCCGATTTTAACAAATCACTATTGGCCGATTGTTACGACCCACTCGTTTAAGGTTGCAACATAAAAGAGGGATCGGACAACAAAGTCTAATCAAAGCAAATTGTTTTATTAAATTAAACTATTACAACAACAATTAATAATGACATTAAACAGAAGTCTAGGGGTATTAATGAAAATAATTAAATTAATATAACAACAACAAAACTTTTAACTACATAATATAAGAAATGCCAAAAGAAATAAACAAGAAAAGAGTCAAAAAGAGACACTCCTGAGAGAACTGTCCCACCGGGAGCGCCTACCCCAAATAACAGAGAACACTCTTATGCTGAGTTCACACTGCACACGATTTTAGCCCGATTTTTCACTCGCCGACAGGTTTTGCGAAATCGCCGACAAATGCCCGAAATCGGAGGCAAATCGGTGCTCGTTCACGCGAGTGACAATCACGCAGTGTGAATTATCAAAGACACGATCTGAGGAAATCACTGACACGTCGATTCACAATCACGCTGTGTGAAATGAGTTCTGACTGAAAAACACATCGGCGATGACCTCTACAGCCAATGAGAGACCAAGATACAGGGCAGCGGGAAGTTCGGGGAGGAGTAACATGAAACGTAGTTTGCGGACCACTGTTGCCAAATCTGCGATTGCCGCCGGTTGTTTTTTATGTCAGCAGCTTGAAGCGACCCCAATTAACATGATATTTAGGCCCTGGAATGTGAATTGTACCAGGAGAACCCTGCCAAAAAAATTGGTATTTTACCCCCCGAACGCGATTTTTACTGGGGGACCCCCTCGAAAGCAATTGGAATATTTTCAGGCTAGTTTTGAGTAGTAATTGGGTGGGTTTTGTAGCGAAAACCTGGCAACCCTGCACCAGACAGAGCT